CAAAATCCAAAGAGTCCAAAAAAAAAAAGAAAACAAGCAGGAAAACACTCTCCGCCAAGTGGCCTGCTTCTCGACGTCATCGTAGCTCTTGTCAAAATCCTTCAGGAACTGATCGAAGGCTTGCTCCACATCAGCACGAGGCTTGTGGGCCTGAGCGAAGGCCAAAGCGCTCAGCGCCAGCTTCAAGGTCTTCGCCATGTTCCTCAAGTTTCAGCTCGCGCCGCTTGAGACTCAACTACCTGCCAGGCGCATATGACGTATGTAGAAGCTGACACGGGCAAAGCGCACTCAATGCGGCCTTCCTTGATGCCTGGTACGCACAAAAACCTGCAAGCAAGAAGATGCTAACCATTGCCTTCGCAAACACACGGAGAGTCAAACAGCTGAAAGCAACTTGCAATCCCGTTTTGCTTCTGGGCTCTCTATGCCAAAAGCTGTGACATGCTGGAGACGCAGGCCAGCTCAAGCAGCTCAGCACTGCATCAAACGCACATCAATTGAAGGTATTGACAACGTCTGTCTGTCCAGCCCTCAAGCTGTCCGACTCAAGCTGTCAAGGCTGCCAGGCGCTTTGGACGCAGCAACTCAGATAACCATCTCAGTGCCTGTGGCGAGCCCAAGCTTCAAAGGAGCAGGCTTGGAGTCGGGGTAGACGCAAATGCCCAGAAGGCTGGAGAGGTGGACGCACTTGGAACCGCTGGGGCAGCCGCCCACGATGCATGCAAGTGCGCAGTACTTGTCGCCGCTGCTGCTGTCCTGCAGGATGCACATGGGGTGCGCGGTGGTGCCTGCCGGCACGTCGCTGGGGCAGGCGCCGGTGTTGCACTTGGGCGCGCAGACGCTGCCGCCAGCACCCTCCACCTCAGCCTGGGTCTCGTCGCTCTGGCAGGGCGGCTTCTCGTAGTGGCTCTTGCTGGGAGGGGAGGGCGGGGACGGAGGAGACGGCGGGGACGGCGGGGATGGCGGGGACGGTGGGGAAGGAGAGGGGCCGGAGCCGGACACCACCGGGTAAGAGGCCTGCGACTTGATGCCGCACTCGCCGGGGCCGGCCTTGCCACGCTCCAGCTTCACGAAGCCCTGCTCTCCCCAGGTAGCGCCCCAGCTGTTCTTCACCAGCCAGTAGTCCGTGCCGTCCTCCGTGCCGTAGCCCACCACCAGCACGCCGTGGTCCAGCTTGGTGCCGCAGGTCTTCGTGAGCACGCCGCTCTTGTACATCTGGAAGGCCATCTGGTCCGCCTCAATGGCAACGGACACCGGCTGCTTGGCCACCGCATCCATGAGAGCCTGCTCGTCGTCCGCCTTCACGTCCACGTAGCTGGTCACACCGTGGGCCGGGATGCCCACCGTGCAGCCGGAAGCCTTGCAGATGCCGTTCTTGGCAGTGTAGGGATAGCTGTCCTCCGTGCACACCGGCGCCTGCTCCTCGTACTTGAAGCCGTTGTCCATCAGGCCGCCGCTGCAGCCCTGGTTGCCGAACTTCTTGGAGCAATCCACCAGCTGCTGCTCGGACAGGGACACCAGCTTGCCAGTCGCGAGGGCCCAGGCCCCCTCCAACGCGCCGGTGGTGCTGAAAGCCCAGCCTCAGGAAGCATGCCGACGCATCGAACCCCGCGGTCGCTCCCCAAGCTCGTTTGACCGTCTGACCAGAGTCTTCATCGCACAACGACACAGTCTTCATGAGTCAACATGGACTTCAGAAAGAGTCACTAAAGATCAGGACCACACATCACAACATCGGGAAGACAATCTTACGGACTGGCTTCAAATTCAACAACAACACCGGCTTTGCTGACTGAGGGAGGCCCAGGCATAGACATTGCAATACAAATCAGAGAAGGCCGGGGCTGATTGAACTAAGCATGGTCACATCAGAAGAGCTAAACACACATCGGACAAGCTGCAAGATCCGCACTGCTGCTGGTTCTTCACCGGGGTCACTGCCTTTCCTCTCCAGTCGACAGATTTCGGCAGGCTCGCGTTGCTCACTTTGTGCACTCCCCCGCTCGCCACGTTGCCCCAGACTGACTCCGGCATGTTCATGCCCAGCATGCCCATCTTGAACTCATCCAGGGTCATGTCCGAAAACTCGTTGAGACCCAGCTTGTACGACAGCTTCTTGGCGTTCTCGCGCTGGATGTACTCGTAATTCTCGGCAAAGGCAGCAAAGCGGGCCTGAGCATCAGCGAGTTGCTTGGCTGGGTCTGCATGCATCTAGAGCCAGTCACAGAGTCGTTGTTGAATCAAAATCCAAAGAGTCCCAAAAGCAAACAATCAAACAAACAAACAAACAAACAAACAAACAAACAAACAAACAAACAAACACTCTCCGCCAAGTGGCCTGCTTCTCGACGTCGTCGTAGCTCTTGTCAAAATCCTTCAGGAACTGATCGAAGGCTTGCTCCACATCAGCACGAGGCTTGTGGGCCTGAGCGAAGGCCAAAGCGCTCAGCGCCAGCTTCAAGGTCTTCGCCATGTTCCTCAAGTTTCAGCTCGCGCCGCTTGAGACTCAACTACCTGCCAGGCGCATATGACGTATGTAAAAGCTGACACGGACGTGGCCTCACTGCGCTCTTGCATCAAAGCGCACTCAATGCCGCCTTCCTTGATGCGTGGTATGCACAAAAACCTGCAAGCAAGAAGACGCAAACTAATGGCCTTCGCAAACACACGGAGAGGCAAGCGGCTGACAGCAACTTGCAATCCCGTTTTGCTTCTGGGCTCTCTATGCCAAAAGCTGTGACATGCTGGAGACGCAGGCCAGCTCAAGCATCTCAGCACTGCATCAAACGCACATCAATTGAGTATTGTTCCGCAGCAACTCAGATAACCATCTCAGTGCCTGTGGCGAGCCCAAGCTTCAAAGGAGCAGGCTTGGAGTCGGGGTAGACGCAAATGCCCAGAAGGCTGGAGAGGTGGACGCACTTGGAACCGCTGGGGCAGCCGCCCACGATGCATGCAAGTGCGCAGTACTTGTCGCCGCTGCTGCTGTCCTGCAGGATGCACATGGGGTGCGCGGTGGTGCCTGCCGGCACGTCGCTGGGGCAGGCGCCGGTGTTGCACTTGGGCGCGCAGACGCTGCCGCCAGCACCCTCCACCTCGGCCTGGGTCTCGTCGCTCTGGCAGGGCGGCTTCTCGTAGTGGCTCTTGCTGGGAGGGGAGGGCGGGGACGGAGGAGACGGCGGGGACGGCGGGGATGGCGGGATGATGGGGGAGGGGAGGGCCGGTGGACGTAAGAGGCCTGCGACTTGATGCCGCACTCGCCGGGGCCGGCCTTGCCACGCTCCAGCTTCACGAAGCCCTGCTCTCCCCAGGTAGCGCCCCAGCTGTTCTTCACCAGCCAGTAGTCCGTGCCGTCCTCCGTGCCGTAGCCCACTACCAGCACGCCGTGGTCCAGCTTGGTGCCGCAGGTCTTCGTGAGCACGCCGCTCTTGTACATCTGGAAGGCCATCTGGTCCGCCTCAATGGCAACGGACACCGGCTGCTGGCCACCGCATCCATGAGAGCCTGCTCGTCGTCCGCCTTCACGTCCACGTAGCTGGTCACACCGTGGGCCGGGATGCCCACCGTGCAGCCGGAAGCCTTGCAGATGCCGTTCTTGGCAGTGTAGGGATAGCTGTCCTCCGTGCACACCGGCGCCTGCTCCTCGTACTTGAAGCCGTTGTCCATGAGGCCGCCGCTGCAGCCCTGGTTGCCGAACTTCTTGGAGCAATCCACCAGCTGCTGCTCGGACAGGGACACCAGCTTGCCAGTCGCGAGGGCCCAGGCCCCCTCCAACGCGCCGGTGGTGCTGAAAGCCCAGCCTCAGGAAGCATGCCGACGCATCGAACCCCGCGGTCGCTCGCAAAGCTCGTTTGACCGTCTGACCAGCCCCGGCCGACAATCCGGCACACCAAAGTCTTCTTTGCACAACGACACAGTCTTCATGAGTCAACACGGACTTCAGAAAGAGTCACTAAAGATCAGGACCACACATCGCAGCATCGGGAAGACAATCTTACGGACTGGTTTCAAATTCAACAACAACACCGGCTTCACTGACTGAGGGAGGCCCAGGCATAAACATTGCAATACAAATGAGAGAAGGCCGGGGCTGATTTAACTAAGCATGGTCACATCAGAAGAACTAAACACACATCGGACAAGCTGCAAGATCCGCACTGCTGCTGGTTCTTCACCGGGGTCACTGCCTTTCCTCTCCAGTCAACAGATTTCGGCAGGCTCGCGTTGCTCACTTTGTGCACTCCCCCGCTCGCCACGTTGCCCCAGACTGACTCCGGCATGTTCATGCCCAGCATGCCCATCTTGAACTCGTCCAGGGTCATGTCCGAAAACTCGTTGAGACCCAGCTTGTACGACAGCTTCTTGGCGTTCTCGCGCTGGATGTACTCGTAATTCTCGGCAAAGGCAGCAAAGCGGGCCTGAGCATCAGCGAGTTGCTTGGCTGGGTCTGCATGCATCTAGAGCCAGTCACTGAGTCGTTGTTGAATCAAAATCCAAAGAGTCCAAACAAACAACAAACAAACAAACAAACAAACAAACAAACAAACAAACAAACAAGCAAGCAAGCAAACAAAACAAAACAAACAAACAATCAATCAAACAAACAAACAAACAAACAAACACACAAACACACAAACACACAAACACACAAACACACAAACAAACAAACAAGCAAGCAAGCAAGCAAGCAAGCAAGCAAGCAAGCAAGCAAGCAAGCAAGCAAGCAAACCTCCGCCAAGTGGCCTGCTTCTCGACGTCGTCGTAGCTCTTGTCAAAATCCTTCAGGAACTGATCGAAGGCTTGCTCCACATCAGCACGAGGCTTGTGGGCCTGAGCGAAGGCCAAAGCGCTCAGCGCCAGCTTCAAGGTCTTCGCCATGTTCCTCAAGTTTCAGCTCGCGCCGCTTGAGACTCAACTACCTGCCAGGCGCATATGCCGCATGTAAAGGCTGACACGGACGTGGCCTCACTGCGCTCTTGCATCAAAGCGCACTCAATGCGGCCTTCCTTGATGCCTGGTATGCACAAAAACCTGCAAGCAAGAAGATGCTAACTCCTTCGCAAACACACGAAGAGGCAAACGGCTGACAGCAACTTGCAATCCCGTTTTGCTTCTGGGCTCTCTATGCCAAAAGCTGTGACATGCTGGAGACGCAGGCCAGCTCAAGCAGCTCAGCACTGCATCAAACGCACATCAATTGAAGGTATTGACAACGTCTGTCTGTCCAGCCCTCAAGCTGTCCGACTCAAGCTGTCAAGGCTGCCAGGCGCTTTGGACGCAGCAACTCAGATAACCATCTCAGTGCCTGTGGCGAGCCCAAGCTTCAAAGGAGCAGGCTTGGAGTCGGGGTAGACGCAAATGCCCAGAAGGCTGGAGAGGTGGACGCACTTGGAACCGCTGGGGCAGCCGCCCACGATGCATGCAAGTGCGCAGTACTTGTCGCCGCTGCTGCTGTCCTGCAGGATGCACATGGGGTGCGCGGTGGTGCCTGCCGGCACGTCGCTGGGGCAGGCGCCGGTGTTGCACTTGGGCGCGCAGACGCTGCCGCCAGCACCCTCCACCTCGGCCTGGGTCTCGTCGCTCTGGCAGGGCGGCTTCTCGTAGTGGCTCTTGCTGGGAGGGGAGGGCGGGGACGGAGGAGACGGCGGGGACGGCGGGGATGGCGGGGATGGCGGGGAAGGAGAGGGGCCGGAGCCGGACACCACCGGGTAAGAGGCCTGCGACTTGATGCCGCACTCGCCGGGGCCGGCCTTGCCACGCTCCAGCTTCACGAAGCCCTGCTCTCCCCAGGTAGCGCCCCAGCTGTTCTTCACCAGCCAGTAGTCCGTGCCGTCCTCCGTGCCGTAGCCCACCACCAGCACGCCGTGGTCCAGCTTGGTGCCGCAGGTCTTCGTGAGCACGCCGCTCTTGTACATCTGGAAGGCCATCTGGTCCGCCTCAATGGCAACGGACACCGGCTGCTTGGCCACCGCATCCATGAGAGCCTGCTCGTCGTCCGCCTTCACGTCCACGTAGCTGGTCACACCGTGGGCCGGGATGCCCACCGTGCAGCCGGAAGCCTTGCAGATGCCGTTCTTGGCAGTGTAGGGATAGCTGTCCTCCGTGCACACCGGCGCCTGCTCCTCGTACTTGAAGCCGTTGTCCATGAGGCCGCCGCTGCAGCCCTGGTTGCCGAACTTCTTGGAGCAATCCACCAGCTGCTGCTCGGACAGGGACACCAGCTTGCCAGTCGCGAGGGCCCAGGCCCCCTCCAACGCGCCGGTGGTGCTGAAAGCCCAGCCTCAGGAAGCATGCCGACGCATCGAACCCCGCGGTCGCTCCCCAAGCTCGTTTGACCGTCTGACCAGCCCCGGCCGACAATCCGGCACACCAAAGTCTTCTTTGCACAACGACACAGTCTTCATGAGTCAACACGGACTTCAGAAAGAGTCACTAAAGATCAGGACCACACATCGCAACATCGGGAAGACAATCTTACGGACTGGCTTCAAATTCAACAACAACACCGGCTTCACTGACTGAGGGAGGCCCAGGCATAAACGTTGCAATACAAATGAGAGAAGGCTGGGGCAGATTTAACAATTCATGGTCACATCAGAAGAACTAAACACTCATCGGACAAGCTGCAAGATCCGCACTGCTGCTGGTTCTTCACCGGGGTCACTGCCTTTCCTCTCCAGTCGACAGATTTTGGCAGGCTCGCGTTGCTCACTTTGTGCACTCCCCCGCTCGCCACGTTGCCCCAGACTGACTCCGGCATGTTCATGCCCAGCATGCCCATCTTGAACTCGTCCAGGGTCATGTCCGAAAACTCGTTGAGACCCAGCTTGTACGACAGCTTCTTGGCGTTCTCGCGCTGGATGTACTCGTAATTCTCGGCAAAGGCAGCAAAGCGGGCCTGAGCATCAGCGAGTTGCTTGGCTGGGTCTGCATGCATCTAGAGCCAGTCACTGAGTCGTTGTTGAATCAAAATCCAAAGAGTCCCAAAAACAAACAATCAAACAAACAAACAAACAAACAAACAAACAAACACTCTCCGCCAAGTGGCCTGCTTCTCGACGTCGTCGTAGCTCTTGTCAAAATCCTTCAGGAACTGATCGAAGGCTTGCTCCACATCAGCACGAGGCTTGTGGGCCTGAGCGAAGGCCAAAGCGCTCAGCGCCAGCTTCAAGGTCTTCGCCATGTTCCTCAAGTTTCAGCTCGCGCCGCTTGAGACTCAACTACCTGCCAGGCGCATATGACGTATGTAAAAGCTGACACGGACGTGGCCTCACTGCGCTCTTGCATCAAAGCGCACTCAATGCCTTCCTTGATGCGTGGTATGCACAAAAACCTGCAAGCAAGAAGACGCAAACTAATGGCCTTCGCAAACACACGGAGAGGCAAGCGGCTGACAGCAACTTGCAATCCCGTTTTGCTTCTGGGCTCTCTATGCCAAAAGCTGTGACATGCTGGAGACGCAGGCCAGCTCAAGCAGCTCAGCACTGCATCAAACGCACATCAATTGAAGGTATTGACAACGTCTGTCTGTCCAGCCCTCAAGCTGTCCGACTCAAGCTGTCAAGGCTGCCAGGCGCTTTGGACGCAGCAACTCAGATAACCATCTCAGTGCCTGTGGCGAGCCCAAGCTTCAAAGGAGCAGGCTTGGAGTCGGGGTAGACGCAAATGCCCAGAAGGCTGGAGAGGTGGACACACTTGGAACCGCTGGGGCAGCCGCCCACGATGCATGCAAGTGCGCAGTACTTGTCGCCGCTGCTGCTGTCCTGCAGGATGCACA